AGATGGTAATCAAAACAGATAACAGGAAGATTTCTGAACATTTGGAAACTAAACAAAACATTTTCTAAATAATCCTAGGTCAAAGAGGAGGTCTCAAGGAAAAATTTTTAAAAACAAGTTTAACTGAATGAACATGAAAATATAACACATTAAAATTTGTGGGCCTGGGGATATAGCTCAGTTGGTAGATATAGCTCAGTTGGTAGAGTGCTTGTCTCTCATGCACAAGGCCCTGGGTTCAATCCCCAGCACCATACACACACAAATTAAAATTAAAAAAAAAAATTGTGGTATAACTAAAGCAGTACTAAGAGGGAGATTTATGGCACTAAATGCTTACATTTAAAAAGAGGATATTGGAGCAAATTACATTCCATGCTTATATAATTTTATCAAAATGAACCTCAATATTATGTATAAAGGAAAAAATTAAAAATTGAATTAAAAAATAAAATCAGTAATTTTAAATTTCCCCATCAAGAAAGAAAAAAAATCACCACCAAAACATGAAGGATATAATAAAAATGATAGTAGGATTCAGTGAGGTTGAAAAAAAAAAACTACAGAGCGAAACCCATGAAACAGAAAACTCTTTGGAAAGGAAAATAGCCTCTAGCAAGACTGATAAAGAGAAGACACAATGGCTAACATCAAAATGAAATTTGGGGGCTGGGACTGTAGCTCAGTGGTAGAGTGCTTGCCTAGCATGTATGAGGCATTGGGTTCTGATCCTCAGTGCCACATAAAAAAATTAATAAAGGCATTGTGTTCATCTACATATTATTGTGTCTATATTCATACACAATATATATACACACACCACACACACACACACACAAAATCTCCAGACATCCAAAGGCAGACATCCAATGAAAATTAAGGGAATGCAGGTAAAGTAGCCAGTATCTGAGATGCTTGGGACCAAAAGTGTTTTGGATTTCACATTTCTTCCAATTTTGGAATGTCTGTGTATATGTAAGTAAATAAATATTTTGGGGGTAGGTCTCAAATCTAAATAGAAAATTCATTTTGTTTAATATATACCTGGTAAAATTTTTAGTGAACCTGCATTTTTTACTGTGACCTGTCTCACGTGAGGTCAAATATGGAATTTTCCATTTATTGCCTCATGCTGATGCTCAAAATGTTTCAGATTTTGGAGCATTTCCGATTTCAGGTTAGGGATGCTCAAACTGTACTAGAAACAACTGTATAAATTTGACAATGTAGGTGAAATAGACATTCAAAACAAAGTCAATATAAAATAGAAGGCTGGGATATATATATAAATAATCTTAATAGCCCTGTAACTGCTGAAGACATAAAATTTGATTTAAAAACCCTCAAAAAGTAAATGTTCAGGGCTGTGGTTGTGGCTCAGCAGTAGAGTGCTTGCCTAGCATGTGTGGGGCCCTGAGTTGGATCCTCAGCACCACATAAAAATAAATAAATAAATAAATAAATAAATAAATAAATAAAGGTATTGTGTCCAACTACAACTAAAAAATAAATATTAAAAAAAAGGAAATGTTCATCCCAGATTGTTTAAGTGGAGAATTCTTCCAAACATAAGGAATTAAAACCAATTCCATACAATCTCTTCTATAAAACGGATGAGAAAACATTTCATAACTCATAAGGTCAGTAATACCCTGATACTAAAACCAAACAAAAACAGCACCAAAAACCAAAACTACAGACTGGTATTCTTCATAAATATAGGAGCAAATGATCTTAATAAAATATTAGCAAATAGAACTCACAAAATATTAGTAAATAGAACTCATCAATAGATTAAAAATAATTATACACATGACCAACAGAGTTGAAATATTTCAAGGATACAAGTCTAGTTTAATATTTGAAAACTAATCCATATAATCCACCATGTTAACAGGCTAAAGAACAAAAATTACATGCTCATATAATATAGAGAAAGAATCTAATGCAGAAAAAGAATCACAAAATTCGAAAGAAAAAATTTTTTTAAAAATGCCAAGAATATAAGAGAAAAATCTCACTCCTATTTAAAAACTCGAGTTACTATGTTCCTTCCACAGGGATAACCTCTGTGGTCAACTTATGTTCTAAAGAAACTCTGTGCAATAATAGATAATTCTGTTTGCCCTTAATAAAAACAGCCTAACCCCTCTGTCATCTACCAGGGATGAGACAGCAGGGCAGGGATAAAATTTAAGACCACCCTGACTGGCTGTAATTGGCAAGTCTCAACTTCTTTGAGCTGCAAAGTCTTTATCTGTAAAATGGGAATAACACTTTGCACAGTTAGCCTGAAGAATAAATTGAGATAATACGTACACAGTGGGGGCCCAAAAGTAGATAGTTTTGACTATTGGTTGCTTAGTTTGTGTAAAATAAGCAGTGTATTTGCTCTGTGAACAATGTTGGCAGCATATTTTCCTTTGGACTCAGAGAACAGGTTAAGGGCTTCTTTGATTTTTTTCTTAAACAAGTTTTTTAAATTTATATGAATATTTGCATATACCAGTACATTAGTCTTTCAATTAATGTAGGAGTATCTCCATGGTCCTAGGCGCTAATGTTAACTTCTTAGTTCTTCAGCTTCTCTGTATTAAAGCGATGAAGAGATTAGTATCCATACATTACCTCAGTTGTCTTCTTTCTCCAAACTAAAAAATATATATATACACACACACGTTTTTTTCTAGTTGCAATTTATTATAAGTAGGTAAATAAAAAAAAAAAAGGATTTTGACTATCTTAAGTGGCCTCCTGAAAAACTTTAGCGAAGTCTCTGGCTTTATCCAGAAGTCAGTTCTAAAAGACAAAAACCAATGATTGCATAGATATTCATTACAAGATATTGGTTTGTATAGAATTGTGTAGTGTGATTGGATTCTTGAGAAAGGAAACATACCCCATAGGGTTAAGACAGAGCACACAAAGGAATCAAGGTTCAAGGTTTGCTGTCTGACAGAATTTCTCCCCTAGCTTCCCTTCCCTCTAGGTTAGACTCACCTTCCTGTTTCTTATATTCAGTGTCAATGTCTTGGTTCTCTTTCCATTTTGCAGAACTTCCCACCCTGCCACCACAACTCATTCAGGTCCAAACTACAGGGCATTTCCTTACCTCCAAGAATGTAATAGCCTCCCACTTGCTCTCTATTGTATCCACCTTTCCACACAATTTGGCAGAGTGGCTAATTTTTTTCAATTTTAACTTTTATTGAAGTAAAATATACAGAAAAGTATACTTATCATTGATGTGTAGATTAATGCAATTCCATAAACCGGACACACCCAGACTAAAGATCAGCATTACCATGATCCAAGAAAGCCACATTCTGCTCCCTTCCAGTTACTAATCTCCCAAAGGTGGTGACTTCCAACAGCATGTATTAGTTTTTCCTGTTTTTGTATTTTACTAATGAAATTACATAGTGGAGTCATGTGTACTTTTGTCTGGTTTCATTACTCAATATTACATTTGTGAAGTTCACTCATTGAATCTTGTGTGTGTGTTTGTGTGTGTTTGTACTGGGTATTGAACCCAGAGGTGCTTGACCACTGAGCCATATCCCCAACCCTTTTTTTGAGACAGGGTCTGGCTAAGTTGTTTAGGGCCACACTAAGTTGCTGAGATGGCTTTGAACTTGATTCTCCTCTCAGTCTTCCAAGTCAAGATGCCACGGTGCCCTGCTATTCATCCTCATTGCTTTCTAGAATGAGCCTATTGTGATTTACTTATCCTTTCTATTGTTGAATATTTGAGTGGTTTCTAGTTTGGGGCTATTATAACCAGTATTGCTATATTATCAGATTTTGTTTAACATGCATTTCAGTTAAGAATATACAAATTGCCATTGAACACAGGAACTTCAGTTCTTCCACATCCTTGCCAACACTTATTTTTTTAATATTTTTATTTTAGCCCTTCTAGTAGGCATGTAATGATACTGGACATCTTTTTGAGCATTTCAGATAGCAACTCACTGGTCTCTTAGATCAAATCCCACAGTCATATACTCCCAGCACTTACCTCAGCTTCTGTTTAATATTAAATGTGGATTTCATTTCAGCTGTCCAATCTGGGCTTCAACAATGCATACACACAGCCTGGCACAGTTGGAACTCATGTATTTGAAGGAACAAATGAACAATAGGAAACAATGCAGTACTTTTTGTTTTCTTCTGAAGAATTTTTATGTTGAATTAAATATTAAATTTGATAAGCATGGGGACACTGTCAGATCCCTGAAACTCAGTAAGGAGACCCTTGTAGAATTGCAGAAATGATACTTTAAGCTATATAAATGAATCTGAGTAACCTTCTGCAACCTTGAGCTGTGGCCCAAGGGGCTAGTAAAGCCAGATCACATTGTTCAAGCTCCATTTGTTCACAACCTTCAAAGATGCCCATCTGAGTCATGGTTGTTTGCACAATTTTCTAGTGAACAAGAACATTAGAATCATTTATTCCACTGCCTCCACTCAAATGGAGAATTGGATAAACTGCTCTCAGGGAAGTAAACTTTGAAATTTTACCCTGAAGCCCCGTAACGAAGGGCCTCAGCATTTCCTTTGACCCTGCCTCATATGCCTCATAAAGCATTGTGCTGCTGTTATACAGTATCATGGACTGGGTACTTAGAATGAATTGAAATTTATTCCCCATAGTTCTAGAATCTGGTAGAGCCTTTTTGTTGTGTCATCTTGTAGCAGGGGACAAAAGTGGGGCAGGAAGAGAGACTTTGCAGCCCTGAGCCCTTTCTAAATCTTTTTTGTCAATTCACTCAGTAGAGGTGGAGCCGCCATGGCCTAAATAGCTCCCCTCTGATTAGGCTCTACTTGCAACAGTTTCATTGGGGATAGTTTCTAGCACATGCTTTTTAGGGGACATAATCAAGCCACATTAGCAGTTATTCTGGGACATTTCATGAGCAACTTTCCCTGATTTTACGTAGGCCTTGAGTCTTGAAATAAGAGGGTCTTATGAACATTTTTTCTTCCTGTTCCAGAGCCTTTCTCACTGTGAGCTCATCACAGATGATGGGATCCTGCACCTGAGCAACAGCACCTGTGGCCATGAGAGGCTGCGGGTATTAGAGTTGGACAACTGTCTTCTCATCACTGACGTGGCTCTGGAACATCTAGAGAACTGCCGTGGCCTGGAGCGCCTTGAGCTGTATGACTGCCAGCAGGTCACTCGAGCAGGCATCAAGCGGATGCGGGTAGGCTTGGGGCTGGGGAGTGGGCTCAACCTGACATCGTTTCTGAGCAACAGAATCAAACATTAAAATCAATATCCAGAGCTGGGGAGGTAGCTCAGTGATAGAGTGCTTACCAAGCATGCACAAGGCCCTGGGTTCGGTTTCCAGCCCCACCCTCCACCTATCATAGTCTGTAATGAGATGTAGCGATGAGATGAATCTCAGCAATTAATAAACTGAACATCATTTTTAAAAAAATCAATATCCAGCTGGGCACAGTGGCACTCGCCTGTAATCCCAGCAGCTGAGGAGGCTGAGACAGGACTGCAAGTTCAAAACCAGCTTCAGCAATGGCGAGGCGCTAAGCAACTCAGTGAGACCCTGTCTCTAAATAAAATACAAAGTAGGGCTGGGGATGTGACTCAGTGGTCGAGTGCCCCTGAGTTTAAGCTCCGGTTTCCCTCCCCAAATCAACATTCACTTTCTCCATTCTATCCTAAGCCAATAGTTATGCAAACTTATCTGGTTTACTCATTTGTCAGTCATCTTAGACTGCTTCAAAATCCCATTGTTTAGATCCCACTCTGAAGTTCAATTTGAGTGGGTCTGGGGGAGATGTTCCATGTAGTCTGATCAGCACCCTCATAGCACCTCCATCGGCCAGGCATGGTGACACATAACCTGTAATCCTAGCAACTCAGGAGGCTGGGAAAGATCCCAAGCTTGAGGACAGCCTGGGCAACTTGATAAGACCCTATCTCAAAAAAGGACTGGGGGTGTAGTTCAGTGGTAAAAGCACACTGGGTTCAATCACCAGTAATAAAAAGAAGCTCTCCTTCCAAGGAAAACAGCTTAGATGATTATCAGTAAGAGGCAGGACATAGTCTTCATATAATTCACATATATCGTTTTTCGCCACAAAGCAGCCCTATCCAGGGTCCTTCACTCAAGTTTGCCCATAGGGCCAGTTACTGCCATTGAGCAGAAATAATAATTTCTCTAATAATATTAAGGGAAAAGTAGTTATAATCCCAAAATACCAGGGTAAAGACTACTCCACTTTTTTTACTTCCAGGCTCAGCTCCCTCATGTCAAAGTCCATGCCTACTTTGCTCCTGTCACCCCACCAACAGCAGTGGCAGGAAGTGGACAGCGACTGTGTAGGTGCTGTGTTATTCTCTGACAGCCCACTGCTCAGGCCCAAGGGGTGATGAGGTGTCTCTTCTTGTAGAGAAGACCAGTCTTCATGATTACTCCATCATTACCCAAATCTCTTGCTTCTCCACTGGGAAAGGCATTTACAGGTAAAAGCCTTCAGTATGGATTGGAGTAACTCTGGTGATAGTGTTTCACCTTTATTTTGCTGTGATGCAATCAAAACTTTGTGTCCATTAACATATGGCAAGAGTGGTCTTGATGCAGCCAAGATCACACAAGAAACCTGGATCCCATATGAGGTGGGTACCTATCTCGGTACAAAAGTCCTACCCTTGGCTTTATCAGCATTCCTCAATCAGACCATCAGTGTTAGCACAAATTGAGCAGAAAAATATAACCTGTTGATTTTCTACCTGATCCTTAAGCCAGTGGCCTACTTTAATCCACAGTAATTACATTTTGATTAGCTGGACTTTTCACTTTGAAGATTAAATAGCAATTTTATCAAAGTGACTGTAATGCAAATTCATAATACCCAAATAGTTTTATATGTAGAAACTTATGTGGAAGGCATGATAATAGGTTTCCATGAGACACCAAAGAAATAAGGACTCTAAACTGGGTGAAGCAGGGTCTTCACCTTTGTTATCAGCCTGTCATATCCACCTCCAGGGACCAAAACAAAACAAAAGCAACTCAGTTTGTGTTGCCTGATTGGAAATTACAAGCTCTGGCATATGCTACAGCACATAATGCATTTTTATTACAGGGAATAAAGCTAATTGTTCCATACTTCTCACCAAATATGGGGGATCTAAAGAAACAGGAATTAAGGCTTAAGTTATCTCTAGTATACAATTAAAAACAATGAATGGATGCATGTAGAATGGATGTGATTTTTTTTTTTATTTTTAAATTTTAAAAATCAGGTTACACCAAAACTATTCAAAAATTTTACACACTTAAAACTCAGAAAAGTGTTGGCACCTTTTGGACTCACAATATAAAAATGAATAAACCATTGCAATACTTAATTCAGAGGGTTTTATTGCTATTTTCTGGCACATAAATCTGAGTAAAACCATTTTCCAAATTCAGACCTCCTAATGTTACCTGAAATAAGATATGATGCTATATGTTGAGTCCTGCTCTGCACTGTCCACATTTGTGATCTTTATTGAAGATTAGGAACCCATTACCACCTTCACTGTGAACTCAAGTGTTAATGGCAGCTGGTCCTTGCAACCACTTCTTAGAACTCATGAGAAATAAAAACAAAAATGCTTTCTATGTTTTTATAGACAATGATAAAAGCATTTTTAAGGGGACAAATGCCTCAGCTGCATTCAAAGATGGCAGATAAATATATACCCCCCATAAATTGATTTAGCAAGATTGAGTAAGCATTAAAGTACTTAGTATTTTATTGCTTTTTGATAAACTCCAGTATTTCCTGGTTATATGAATGCCATAGCAGTTATTTTTATATTATATATATAATCTGCGCCACTGTTAGGGATGGAGGACATAACTGATGGAGGACATAACTGATGAAGCCACTTAAGTGAACAAATGAGCATGTAACAAACTTGTTAAAATGATTAGTTTGTATTAAATTTAAAGCTGGGATTATAGTTCATTGGTAGAGTACTTTACCTGGCCATGTGTGAGGCCCTGGATTTAATCCCCAGCACTGGAGAAGATTCTTTTTTCTAATGACCAGAGACTGCCATACATTCTCTCTTGAGTTAGGATACAACCTCTCACTGCTATTGGACTTGATGCTAAATGATCCATGACCTCATTTATAAAAATAGAGGGTTACCTCAAGTGAGAAAACCAGGTTTGTTTCCTCTGTAAAGAACAGTTTGTAGAATAACCTGTCCTTAGTTTTGAGGGAAAAAACCTACAAGAGCTTAGCCTCTTACAATATTTGTTCTGAGGTATGCTCAGGACAGTGGCTCTCTTGGTTCTATGACTCTACTTGAGATGAAACTAGCAAGGTGAAAGTCAACTTGAAGTGAAACTAGCAAGAACTGACATTTTAAATGAGACACATTTGCAAAACAATCGGAAAACATTTATTGTACTGAAATGTGTACATCCTACTATTAAAAAAACAAAGTAGCAAATTTGCTGGTGCCATAATTTATTTAACCTGTTTTACTGGGACAGACTAACGGTCAATGCCACTCAGTATTAATTTCAAGTTTGATGAGCTTGTATTTTATCCCACTTTTCTAAAACCTGATGAATTCAAAATAGCACACAGCATTAAATGACATTTATTGTTCCATAAATCATGAGACCCAAAGGAATGCTAAATAGACAAGCAAAACTCTAAAACAACTGAGAAGCTTACTTCTTTCAAGAACCAAGTGACTGGTACAGAAAACATGTGGTCACACAAAAGCAAAGGGGAGAAGGACAGAAAGGAAAACTCTCCTCCTACATGGTCTATAGGAGTAACAGATATTTCTGAACTAAGATGAAAATATTCAGACAGTGCTGCTTTGTAGCAAATAATTAACCCCTTTATGAATAAACCAAAATGTCAAAGCTTTCACCTAGTGAAGTCATTTGTCTTCTGGGAGAGATTTCAAACTTACAATTAATCATTCCTATTTCCACCTGAACAAAGACGAGGCTCAAATGGTACATTCAAAGCCAAAAGAGCTTAGTAAACAGAGATGCTGTAATTAAAAGTTTAAAAATTCAGTCTGATACACCATAGGCCTCAAAAAATGCTCAATGGATTCTGGGAAGGCTCTGAGTGAAGGGAGGAGCAAAAGAAGAAACCAGTGGATTCCCTTTGGTGGGTTGGGGGGGAAGTTGCTAGCACACTTTTTATGAAAGATGCATACTTTAAGAAAAAGCCATTGTGTGGTTATTAAAAACCTCTCAATCCGAATGTTTATTCATGATTGTACTGAAGCTCAGTATCTTAAGAAGAGACCAAGGGATTTTTTTTTTTTTTTGGTACATTTTAGTGTTAGATTTATGATATCTAGTGTTTCCATGAAAAATCTCATCTTGTTCATAACAAAGATCCCATAACACCAACTCAGAAGCTACCAACAATAAAACTTTGTGCCTCCTACCTATGTCACCTATTTCCAATGTCTGGGGTAGGTCTTTAAAAATGCTCAGGAGTAAGGGGGTGGAGAAATAAGAAGGAAACAAGAAAGAAAACCACGAGTCTAAAAGGCAAGGAGGCTTCAAAAAAATGAAAACCAGAAACTAAAATGCTAAAATTGGAAGCAGAAGCAAAAAAGTTATTCAATAAATCTGTGAAAAAGCAAAAACACAAGTCTTTGTACCTATTAGGATTTACACTGATCCTCTCACCAAGGTACTCCTGATAATGCAGTTTGCTTCAAGCCCATCTTCCTGGCTTGGATCCTCTCCAGTCTGGCATGATCATTTCAAACCTATACCCTTAGACATGATTTCTTCTGAGAAGGTGCCGAGCCTCTTACCTGACCATCACCACATCAGCACAGTCCATCTCTCTGCTGAAGGAATCCTTTCTGGCTCCACAATAGCACTGTCCCCCATCTCCTCCCCAGGTCAGCATAAGGTTCAGGTAATAGAAACCAAACTGGCACAGATAGGTAAATGCCCATGGTTAAGTTTTACATTCATTTCCAAACCGCATACAGTGTAAAAAGCCCAAGGGCTGCTTCTGGGAACTGTATCTACTGGCCTCTGCCAGAGAAGCAGGTAGCCACGCCTGCCCCACGGCCTCCAGAGCTGGATGCACGCTGTCCCGACGTGCTCACTCTCACGAGGATGCTTGGCTATGGCAGTGACAGTGAGATTTGCCTCTCATACAACTCATTAGAAAGGTCATCTGTGTTTTCAATATGAAACATTTCATATAGTAAAATCCAATCCCAAGACTTCTTGGATTCAGTCTTCACACACATTTAGCGTGACTTTATTTGGTACTGGATATAGTTCAGTCTACATAGGACATCACTTCAAAATTATGTGGATACCATCATTATTTTCAGCTGCAGAAAAAGGATAAAAGTTAAAAAATTTTTTAACTTAGCTTAGGAAAGCAAGAACACTAAAATAAAAAAACTCTGCAACCCCCACCTCAGAGGTTACTTTCAACTAATTCTAGAGAAAAACATTCATTTGTTCTAGCTTTTTCTCTTAGGCGGCATCATGTCCACATTTCCCTTTTAGCCATTCTGCTTTCTAAAGACTGGCTGTGCCCTTCTCAGTACACTGCTCCCATACTGCTTGCCAGTTCTGCAGTGTGATGTGGAACTTATCTGTAAGCCAGAGAGAGCACAAGTTGGAAGCTGAACAGGTGAAAACACTGCAAGGGCCAAGTCAACCCTACAGAAAATACACAACCTGAGGGTGCAAACATCTATCATTCCTAGAAAAAATTTTTTAACTCCTTGGAGGCAGATTTGAAACATTTAAAAATATATCCAACTTTTGCCTGATGGCCTCCATAAATGATGAGAAGCATTAAAGGTATTTTAGATAAATGATTTTTTTTAATGTACACAAGTCTGAAAAACAGATTTTAAGGGAAATCCTAAGTTTGAAATGTCTACTGAATTCACAACTACACAATTACAGTATGAGTTTCCTTTTTTTTTTTTACGCAATGAGTTTTACAGAGTAAAAGTTGAGCAGAAAAGTACAGGTGAACCGGTCCTGGTTACAATTCAGCCCTGCAGGTCACTGAATGTAGTTCAGTCCACATAAGACATCACTTCAAAAGTGCAGGTAACTTGATGTCATATGTGACACATCAGGCACAAAGTAAAAAAAGAGTGACCACCAGGAAAGAGTAAGTAATGCATGACATTTTCCTCTTCTAGGGAAAGTTGTGCTAAGCCTGGTTTGGGATCTTAACCCACTTGCCCTTTAAAACAATCTATGAACATAGATCGCTTCAAATTCTTTGGCCTTTAAAAACACTCTACCTAATCTTTTAATGTTGGAATTCACCTGAGCCCTCTTTCCATACTGTCTCCTCCAATGACCTCAATTTTATAACTTCTGAAAAGCCAAAGGTTTCTAAATTTATATTTTAAACCCAGACCTCTTTATTCAGACCCAGAATGGCACCATTAAGTGACTACCTGACATACCCCAAATGGTAACTCTCAACAAGAAACTGGCAATTACAACTACTACTCCTTCAAATGTGGAGCTCAGTCTATAAATCATTACCTCTTGCCTGGATGGCCATCTCCTGCCTCCAGTTTTGTGGTCTTCTCATGCCCCCCATTTTGAAAGTAGAAGGAAAATCTAATCACATTACTACTTTGTTTAAACTTCACTGATTTTCCAATGCATTTCAACTAAAATCCAAACTACCATCACCTCAGTCCTGAATGCAAAACCCTACCCCCCACCTTGCTCTACTCACCCTCACACACTACATGGCAGCTACACAACCCTCTTCTAGGCCTTGATAGAATCATTTGCCCTAGGACACTGTTCTTATGGCCAGTTCCTCATCCTTCAAGACACCTCTTCATAGAAGCCTTCTTTAACTGTTCCATGTCCTCCATTCCAGATTCCCCTTATCCATAAACACCCCACAGACTTTCCAATTCCTTCTTGGCACTTAAAATGTTGGTGAGTTTGGCCAATTTTGGTTTGTTTTCCCCACTAGAGTGGGAGTTACACGGACTCTTTGTTTTGTTTAACATTCACTAAGCATTAAATTTCTGAAACAGTGCTCAGTAAAATGTTAACTGAATGAACTAAGTTTTTCCCAGTTATCTAGAAAGACTGACACCTTTTCCTCATTTGCTAGTTAACTTCCATTATAGTCCTTAAAAACATTGTTGATTCATTTCTCTAATTCTTAAAAATTAGTAGAGAGAGCATTTTCAAGAGTAAGCACAAAAAAGGGGAACTAATCAGAGGCACACAATATTGTTCATAATTTGAGTATAAAGACACACATGTACAAAGTACCTTTTACTGTAGAGAATAAAAAACAACTCTCATCTTGAAAGTTCTGAACCATCTAGAAGAGTAAAGCACACGTATAAGTACAATTAAGATATTACTGTCCCTTTTTAAATGAATAGAAATGATTTAAAATCAGTTAAAGGAAAATATTATAGTCTATATATTATTCTTGCACAAGTACAGAATTCAAATTACCAAAATACTTCCTGAAGCCAGTGTGAGGTAGTGAAAATGTGTGTCTGCTGCACTCGCAAGACCTTATTCTGACCATCCCTGCCATCACTGTCCCTGAGGATCTGGTCAGTCATTCTGTGATCTATGGGGAGCACTTCCTTATAGTTCTGTTAATGTTGACTAAAACAAAGTACATGTTATTATTCTATGATTACTTGCTCTGAACATGGAGTTGGGAGGTGGGTTGTACTTCTAAACTTTCATGGCTTTTTTAAGGTGGCCATAATGGCCAAAATGAGAAAATAACCAATGTCCACCTCATAAAAAGGGACAGAGCCTGCTTCTAACCTTCAAAGTCCTGAAATGAGTATCTGAATGCAAAGGGTTGTGGGGAGGATAAGCCAGTTTTCTTTGACTTGTGTTCCTTATTATCACTAAAATTCTTGATTATAAATTCTTACAAATTTGATCACTAACTCTTTGGAAATGATTCTCATGAGTATTTGGAAAGAGATAAACACAGAATTATTTTCTATAGTTCAAGAATACGTACAAAAGTAAATATCAGTATGAAAGGGAAAAATGAATGAGGATAATTATCCAATTTACCTGATCACTAACAAGAATGTGGATGCCAGTGGGACCCTGTCTGTAAACCTGGTTAATTTGGTGGAGAGGAATATTAAACACCAACGCAAGTTTTCGCGCAACTTCTGAGGCAACCATTTCTTCCAAGTAGATTGCATGGTAAACTGAAATTTAAGAAAGAAAAAAAAAAACAAAACAGCATATTACCCATAATCTTTGATCTGCTTCCTACTTGATCCATAGAAATACATCTTTCAAAGTATCAAAATAAAATTTAAAATTTATAATGGGACCAAATTAACATTTCTTTTCCCCCTTACTACCTTAAAATATCAAACTACCCATCAGAAATATAATACATTATTTATGTTTGCATGTATAACTTAACATTAACAAATTGATTTAAGGTTTAAATTTTTATTTATATTTTTCTGCACTGAAGTCTCTTGCATTCAAAAGTTAAATATGAACAGGGAAGCTGGACATGGTGGTGCATCCCTGTGCTTCCAGCCCTCAGGAGGTCAAGGTAGGAGGAACACAACTTCAAGGCCAGCCTCAGTAACTTAGTGTAGTGAGGCCCTGAGCAACTTATTAAGACCCTGTCCCCCAAAAAATAAGTAAATAAAAATAGGCTGGGGATGTGGCTTAATGATTAAACGACCCTGGGTTCAATCCCAGGTACCAAAAAATGGGGTAGGGGTTAGGATGGGCTACAAACAGGTACAGGGGTCTTTCTGGGGTAATGGGACTCAAGCTAGACTGCAACAATGGCTATAAACTGTAAATTAACTGAAGTACCATTGAACTGCATATTACAGTAAAAGAATTTTTATGGTATACAAATCATACTTGAAGAAAGTTGTTTTTAAAATGTTTATATTTCTGGTAATATACAAAAAGAGCCCTAAAGGGGTCATTATTTTTGATCCAATAATCCTACTATTGGGAATTTCCAAGGAATGAAAGCTCTTGGTACCCACCCCCAATATTCACACACACACACACAAATTTAAAATAATGTATAAGATACCACATGAAAGGCTACAGACAGACAATGAAGGTTGATACTTCTTTACAGAATACCCTAGCCAGAGTCCATCCAGCATTCTGCATTCCTGGCACATATAAGTCACCAGCAGACATCACCTGCAGAGTGTGCATGTGCAGTGTCTGACTCATGCGGGTCTTGCTTAATGACAGAGTCAAGCTAGACATGGATCAAAAATACCACTGCTGAGAACTTTGTTTCCGTAAATAAGGGTGTGTTCCTTGTTGTGTGTGTGGATTTATGAGTACAGAAACCTTTGTTACAGACACAATACCTTTATTTTTTTAATGTGATGCTGAGGATCGAATCTAGTGCCTCACATGTGCCAGATAAGCACAATGCCACTGAGGCACAATCCCAGCTCTCTCCACTTATTTTTTCCTAAATAAATTTTACTGGAACACAGCCATACCTATCATTAACATACATTCTATGGCTATTCTGTGGCACTCCAGTGGTGGAGTTTAAATGTGTTACCTACGTTTGGGGATGTAACCTCTAAAATATTACAGTCTTAATGATATGTAAATGCTGTGTAAGACCTTGGAGATACGTGGTGAGATTCTTAAAAATTTTTATCCTTTTAGATTAAGAACTTGTACCTTGAATCTTAAATTCATGGCTTCTGGAGTAAAATTAACACCAAATGGAAAATTCTGTAATTGTGACTGCTGCCCTTTTGTTTTTTCAGTAAAATTCCAACCATAAATTATTTATCAGGGCAAATAACTGCCTCTGAATTTTGTAATGTATCTTTCTCTTTAAAGTTCTGAGCATGTTGCCTTCTGTTTCAAAACATAAGAAGAGGAAAATAGTAGAAAGTATATGATTTAAAATAAAAATGCTTACTTATTTTAAGGCTATATTCAGAGGAGAAAAGGGACCAGCCTTTCAAGATCTGCTCTAATCCAGTGCTATACAGTATAAATAAGAAAAACCCTCAGGATGAGATGCCTCCTAACATACAGATGGAAAATGACACAGAGCCTACTACCACTGATAGGGACCTATCACCTCATGAACAGATCACTGTGCCACCCAGTCCACACTTAGGACTGATATACAGATGCATCTTTGCACATGTTTTATTTTAAGCAGTCCCCCCATCTTGCTAGTCAGTAAAATGGAGAGGAGTGGTGCTCCTCCTTTTGGGGGGGGGGGGTCAGGGGGGTTATCAAGCCACCAGTGTACATTTGCCATTTCAGTAAATGTGAGATTTAAGGGGGCAAAAAGTCAGATAAAAATCTCAAAGCATTCAAGCTAGTCTTTTGCTTGTTTAGATATTTCTGGCACAAGGGGCCATATAAAAGAGAACTTCAGAAAGACTGCTAGTTTCCTCTTTTCCCAAGGACATGGCCCTACAGTTGGTGCCTACTACTATCAAGACTCCTGCACTAGTAACTGGGCAGAAAGGAAGTGACAGGGTTGAGATACCCTGAATACCCACCGTAAGGCGTCCCACTGCCATTCTCGCCTCCACTGCCTGCAGCTTGCTGCTGCGCTTGCAGGGTGGCACTACTCGGCTGCTCCTGGCAGACATAGATGGTTAAGCGGGGCCTAACCGACCTGCAATCAGAAGATGCCAAGATGAGCCTAGGAGAGAAGCTGCCTGAACACACGTACACATGACAACTATAGGAATCTAAGTTCTATTTCCTTATGAAAATTTTACAATGTTATTTCATTATGCAAAATAATTTACTAATAAAAATGTAAAAACCACACACCTCACAACAACTATCACAGGTGGTCTAATATGATGATCCAGACTCTAAACCATTGAGATGGTCTGTCAGATGCTGGTAAATTTAAGTTTCAAGATTAAGTAAGCAATTTAAAATCAGTGATTCAATTTTAATGGAATTCTCACACCCCAAGTCTAGAAATAACAATGATAGTAAATGGATCGTAAAAGCCAGCATAGTTTACAGTTCTATTATTTTAATTCACAATTAGAAGTTTACATATTTAATAACTGTTTAATAATAGTCATGACCTTGAAAACCATAGATTCTGTATAGCTCACCTAAATTAGAAGTTTTGTTTTCTTGGCAACAAACCCAGTCGTCTTCAAGAAATCAGTACTGCCCATGTGCATTGCTACCAGTCTTACAGTCTACCTCTGCCCTCATCAGTGCCTGCATCATATCTGGGCCTGCCCTGAAGGTGTACACAAAACAGTCTTCTCGTGAGCACGATGCTGCCGATGCTCGACGGTGCACACAGGCACACGCCAACCTATCGTGGAAACACATTCTGCCCAAACCCCCCACGCGAAGAAAGGTATGTCCTTATTTCACGCAAAACAGTCCACAGTATTTTACCTTGACTTCAGTGAATTATAGAGCCGAATTCCATCGGCTGCACCACAAATTTGAACTAAATCTTCCTTTGTCAGTTTTAATAAGTCGGCACCTGGAGGACAACAAAGAGACTCTTCTCAAATGAAAAAGAACATGCCACTGGCTGCTTCACAAGCATCCATCTCTTTTTACACGGTTAGATGTCCTTCTAAACAACGTCAGGCATTCTGAATGTACACACACACATCCCCTGTCCTTTAGAGCCAAAGACAATGCTGGTTTTTCAATAGCCTGTATTGTATCAAGAGGGAGTTCAGAAGTCCAGAAGCTGGTAAATCTAATCAGTGTGCAGATCCCATACAACTGACTATCCCCAATACCAGATCTCACTGCCTGCTTCACCTAGTGGCTCTGCTGTGGCTTTACTTGATTCTGACCTCAGGTAGATAAATCTTGAGACCACCCAGATTACTCAGTTTTATTTTTACAAAAGAGAAAATGGAAGTCCAGAGTTTCAAAAACATGTCCAGAGTGACACAACTAGCTGATAGTGGAACAAGGACTAGGCCTCTTAATGTCACATCAAACATTCTGTAACATAACTGTCATAGCAGCCAATTTTAATAGGAAAGCATGGCAAAGAATCACATGATTCCTTCATATTTCCCCCCATAAATACTTGCGAAGTGTGAATAACAAGAGATCAAGGATACAACAGACCTTAAAATACAGCAGAAAGGTGGGAGAGAAATCAAAGTGTGGAATAGGATATGTCAAGAAATTTGTAATGTTTTGAACAACCCACAATAAAAAATTAAAAAAAAAAAAAGAAAGGTGGGAGAGGAAGTAGTGAAACCAAGATTGACCAAGCTTGGGGTGGCTACATGGGAGTTCATCACATTCTCCTCTCTGCTTATTAATGTTTGAATACATTCACAATCTTTTATGTTTAGCCCTCTACTAACAGTCTCTGGGATATAGGCATAACTTCCATATAAGTATCTCCTACCAATATGTAATAAGATAATGGAGTTCTCTAAGAGCTTGAATATGAGAACCTAATAAATTTCTAATTTATAAAAGAAAAAAAGATCAGAGAAGTATAACTTCCACAAGACACGAACATTAAGAGAGTCATTCTGTAGTCAGAGAAACAAGCACTCTCATCTCTCTACTGGAGCCTACAAAAAAACACCTCTGAAGCAGGGCTCATAGGTGTGACCAGAGATGTGCCCACACACACATGTACCCTTAACTTTAACCCATGCAGAGAAGTGGATAAACCTTCCTGAAATGTGAATGCCCAAAAGGCTCAGAGCAAGAGGCCTCATCTCCTCACTGACCTTTTGTAGTTCTTTGACTCAGTTGATGCACCAAAGGGGCACAATGGCTAGCTCCCTGCCCAACCTCCAGAGGAAGCACATGGGTTAAGGAAAAGGCAGGAGGCTAAACCATGTAATTACCACTCAATGAAAAGAGCTTAAAACTCCCAAGACAAAAACATGGACTGACCAAACAGGAGTAACAAGGGCCTTCCATATTTATTGGAAGTTTTTCTATGTGCTATGCTTTTAATTCTGCTTCTTCTGCAAGAGCTCAAGATGACCACCTCCACCCCAAATTGTACAATTTCTAGTTTTCCACACTTAAGAGGCTTTTCCTTAATCATATAAAAAATATGGATCCCAGGGCTAGGGCTGTAGCTCAGTGGTTGAGTGCTTGCTCATATGTGTGAGGCACTGGGTTCGATCCTCCCCACCACATACAAACAAATAAAATAAAGGTAGTGTGTCCATCTACAACTTTAAAAAAAAAAAAAAAAAAAAAGGTGGGCAGGCAGTCCCAGCTAGCAAGTGACTTCCGTCTGGTACTTTGAAGAGACAAAAAGCTACATGAGGAATGACTATTCATTGCAAAAACAATGCAATAAATAGCATAATAGGAAACCATATTCTTTGTGAAACTAAGATTTCCTTGAAGCTCCATATGTGCACACACGTTCCATCCTCTTAAAGCAACCAAGCTGAGTTTCAATGGCTCTATACTACCACAAGCTAAAGCAAAGGTGCCACTTTACTGTGACTCACAATTTCTCAGAATATGTTTATCCAGGACATGTTGTTGTTCCGTGGGAAAAAGGTCCCAGTGCCAAATGTATCTGGAAGATAATGGCCCTGCCCCACCTGGTGTATCCACTACTATTTGTTACATGGACCTCCTTCCACACCACCTGAGGCAGCACTACTTGATGCCTTCTAACATCCCATCCAAGTATTTCCTTATCTTACTAAGAATAGAACTGACACTTCAGTATATAAGACCCTTAAGTACATAAGACCTGGGTCCATGAGATACTATTCTGCAATAAAAAGAGTTAAACTATGGGCTGGGGATGTGGCTCAAGTGGTAGCGCGCTCGCCTGGCATGCGTGCGGCCCGGGTTCAATCCTCAGCACTACATACAAAAAAAAGATGTCGTGTTCGCCGATAACTAAAAAATAAATATTAAAAAATTCTCTCTTTCACTCTTTAAAAAAAAAAAAAAAGAGTTAAACTATAGATACATACAACAACTTGGGCGAATCTTCAGATTATGATGCTGAGTTATAAAAGAGCCAATATCATAAGGTTTGTAAAAGAAAAAATACCAGGAAACTATATATCCTGTGATTCCATTTCCATAACTCTCCAAGTGAAAAAAATAATAGAGACAGAAAAGAGTCTAGTGTGGGAGAGATAAAAACGAGTATAGCAGCAGGGATCACTGTGGTAATGGCCTAATTCTGTAGCTTAACCACAATGGTAGTTACACAAATCTGCACATGTGATAAAAATGACTTAACTATATATTATACCAATGTCAATTTCCTGGTTTTGTTATTGTACTACAATTATATGAAAAACTGAATGAAGGCATACTGGACCAATTGCACATTATCTTTTGGAACTTGGTATAAAGCAAAAACTATTTCAAAATGAAGGTAAAATGAAAAACTATTGCATAAACTATATACATACATACAAGTGACTACCCATAAGTCTGGTGAAACTACAGATTTTATCAATGGTAATTTCCTGGTTTTTATAGTATATGACAAGCATGTAAGATATTACTACTGTGGGAAGTGGGTGATGGAAACACAGGACTTCCCTGTATATTATCACTGCTTTCTGCAACTTTTTATGTATGTATGTATGTATGTATGTGTGTGTATATACATTTACTTCTTTAAAAAAAATTTAAACTCTTTAATAAAACCACAGACACAAACAAGTAAACAAAACACTCCCATGTATGTCTCACACACACAGAGACATACCTGAAAAATTAGAAAACAGTCTTGTATAGGAAGAGAATCTGTTTTTGAGCAGCCACTGTTGTGTTTCCTGGGTTGTAGCTGAAGGCTGAATTTGCTATTAACAGAGAAAATGAACACAAAAGAGATGAAACCAGTCAAACTTACAAAACCAAACCAAACCAGACCAGACCACCAAGTCACTAGCATGTAAAGAGTATTTAAACAAAACAAAGGAGCCTCCAAGTTTCAGTATTAAAAAAAGAAAACCTAAGAAGAACATGAACCTGACTACTTAGAAACCTGAATAAGGACTCAAATACTGTCAGAAACTTAAAAAATGTAAGACCTTGAAAGCATAAAATAGTTTTAGGAAAAAGATACTTACTTCACCAGATGCCTGTGAAACTCCATCTCCCTGATGATTTGGGGAAGAAGAATTGCTAAAGAGAAAGGAAAAGGAAGAAGAGAATGGTTTTTATAATTAAAAAAAAAAAAAAAAAAGCCTATTAAACTAGGTAACTTTAAATAAGGCATCATTATGAGAAAGCTGTAAGTTTGCAAATAGAGGGGAGACACAGCAGGGTGGGGGTAACTATGATAAGATGAAGACGCAGAAGACCCTCTCTTCACTCATGCCATTTTGTCCATATGTTCTAGTGAGAAATTCAAGTTTTATGAAATCCCACTTATCCATAGGGATGCCAAGAAAATGAAGAATACTAAATGATTTTAATTAGAAAAAAGAGAAACCAATAAGATATAGAGCTGCAAAAACGATCTACTTTAAGAAAACAATGAGCTACAAGAAAAAGTATGATCCTAAGTAAAAATATAAAATACTATCTTCCTTTAATTAATCCATGATACATATCCATGATTACAGAGAGTGAACAAGAGAAACAAACTCAAACCACTATCCTTGTGTTTCTAAGGCAGAATGAAAACAGTAAACAACTTTCTGACTCCTGCACATACGCTCCTTTATTTTGAGGGGCAATGTTGGGGATAGAACCCAGGGAAGTGTTCTCCCACTGAGCTACAGGCCCCTTTCTTAGTGCCTGCTCCTCAATTACTTAGGTTTACTATATTGATATATTTACTATATTTATATCCATTTCCACTCACTAAATTTAAGCTCCTTCAAATTGAGATCTGTCTGGTCACTTATATATCACAGCACCTAGAATAGTCCTGGAACAGTGGACTCTCAGGAAATATCCAGCCAACTAGTCAACTTGAATTCACAACTCATCTCTAAGGTCATAGTAATTTTGTAAGATTATTAAGGCTGGACTGCCCTAAAAAAAAAAAACTAGAAGAGATGTTTTAATGTGGTAACATGATGGCTCTCCAGTCCCCCCTTCAAGTCTATGAGTATTCTTCTACTTTTAAACCTACATGAAAACAAGCAGTATCATCAGCTCATATATTTCCACAGGGCAAAAGTGTCATTGTTTGTTTTCTTATCAGACCTGGGCAATATGATCAGAGTATAAAACAACAGAACCTTTCCCTTGTGGTCATAGCTTTAATAATTTTCTCCGAAGTAAGAAGTGCCCTAAAAAAAAGGGTGGTGGTGGGGTCTGATCAGAAATACTCTGCATTAGTTCTCCAACAAAGCAGCCAGAAATGGAAAGCCCCAGAGGGTACCACTGCATCTTCAGGATGCCTCAGACCCTGTCTCCTGCTCCCACCTGTAATTCCCAAGAGTCTCAGTTGTTAGTCAAAGCCAGATAATAAGCACAGTAATGGGTGGCCACACCTATAATCCCAGCTACTTGAAAGGCTGAGGCAGGAGGATCAAAAGTTCCAAGCCC